AACGTGGTTGACCGTCCCCTCGAATTTTCTACACCCAAAGCCAGAAAGGGATAGTAAGTTAAGTAGTGCTGTCAGATGTCGCACGTTGTCAGCTGCAGCCCCAGCCCCCCAAGTTCCTGTTCTGGATCTCAGCCGGACCAGTGCACCAGCCGGTGCCAAGGGCCTGCTCCGCAGAAGCTGTGCGAACCGCCACTCCTCCACCCCCCGCCCCCGCATGCCTGACTTCCTGCCCCGTGGACGTGCTGGGTGACTGTCCTGTCTCCGTGTCTGCGTCAGGCTCTTTGGTCTCTTGGCTGTTCCTCATCTTTTTGCCTGGTTCCTTCTTCTCTGCTGACCCAGAAATGTAATGAGACCCAGAGCTGGAGCCTCCACCCTCCGCTGCCCTCTGACCGGTTCTGCGGGGCAGGGCTGGCCACGCTGGCTGGTGGCCCGGACTCCCCGCCCTTCCCTACCCCTGCATCTGCCCAGAGACGCTCAAGAACCCAGAGCCCTCACCTCCTGGATCTGCCCCTCCATCTGGCCTCCATTTCTAGTGAGAATGCAGTGTCCGCCCACTGCCCACCGAAGAGCATTTTGGCCAGGGGTCTTTAGTGTGTCCACTTCCTGCCAGGCCGACGAGTGGGGCCCTCCCGGGCCCCGCTCTCTGCCCACGTCCTCTCCATTTCCAGCGCCATGGCTTTGTTCTGGCCCGAGTCCTGCCTTCCCTGGCCAGCGGCACTGTTTTCTGCTGTGGTCCCTGTCCTCTCACCTTCTCAAGCTGCCCTAAATACTGTCCCCATATACCTTCCCAGAACGTGGGTCCGATCTGCCATTCCTCAGAGACCTCCAGCGACTTCCCACTGTCTTTAATACAGCGTCATCACAGCTCTGCTGGCACCTTGTGACCTGACCCCAGCCTGCCTTTCCAGTTCCCACTGGGCACTCAGCAGGCGCCAGTGTTTCCCAGCCCTGGCAGCCAGCATCCCCCGTGGAGCCTCGGGTAGTGTGGGGGTGGAGCCCCTCCCTGGCTCACTGGATCCTAGGCTCACACCAGCCTCCTGCAGGTGGCCTCTGCCTGCATCGCCCCAGTGCGCCCATGTGCCCCGCCCCCCGCCTGCTTCCTGCGCAGATGCCTTTGCCGTGGGCCCTGCTGTGCCCTCAGGTGAGGGTGCCAGCCTGTCCTGTGCTTCCTGAAAAGGAGCTTTTCCTCTGGACTCTGGCTCAGGCACCACTTCCTCCAGGAAGCCTCCCCTGCTGTGCTCACCCGCTTCTCTGCTCTGTCTGATGTGTTTCACCCTCCCTCACATTTCAGTGGACTGTTGACTGTGAGCCCTAGGTGCGAGCAATGAGGGAGAACAGGGTGTCCTTAGACGTGTCCCAGGTCACCCTCTCCGTTGTGCATCGTGGCCCAGAGCTGGTCGTGCTCCAGATCCCTCAGGAGCCACCTGGCCACTTGGGTTTCTCTCCTGAGTCCAGGCTTCATGGGGTCAGGTCTCAACAGTCTGACCCAGGAGACGGTGCCGTCCCTGCTGTCTGTGAGGGGCCCACCCCCCAGCCTCAGACAGCGCATACCTCGCCGCAGCCCCTTCCAACTCTCTCTTGCAGGACATCCTTACGGACCTGTCAGCAGAGAGCGAGACCCTCGACCTGGAGTGCGAGGCACAGGACTGTTTGGCACACAAGGTAGAAGCCCTGGGCTTTGCGGTCTGGAATGTCGTTAAGGAGAAGCTGAGAGGGCTCAGAATTTCCCCAACTCTGAATCTGCTGTTAGTTCAAGCCGTGTAACCAACAGCTGCCACGTGCCAAGCGCTGTGCAGCTGAGCGCTTTCGTTCTTACAATGCAGATGTCGTGACAGCCCTGTGAGGAGGTGGTGGTGGTTTTTTTGTAAGAGAAAGAAGCACATTCAGAGGGATCGAGTGACTTGCCAGGAGCCACACAGTCCTTGGCTTGTCAGAGTCGGCATTCGAACCCGTCGAACATTTTCCTTCCCTTACAATTAAAGCAACACATTCTAGTGGTGAAAGGAAACCAGTCCACTCCAGAGCAAACGCGCTCGCCCACCGCAGGATCCGTCTGGAGGCGGCGCTGGCAGCGCGGTCCCCGCGGGCTGGCTGTCATCCCACGGCTTTCTTGGCAGATGTCGCAACACCCAGTTCTCGTTCTGCTGTGCCGTGCGGTGGGGACGGGGGGCGGGGGGTGGCGAGAGCTCTTCCTGAAGGTCTGGAACGCGGCCGCTCAGAGGAAGCCATTGGCCTTTCTCGGATTATAAATACACATGACGTAGTATTTATCATTTTCACTATTTATGCATGTAAAATTCAGTGGCGTTATGTACATTCAAAATGCTGTATATCCATCACCACTGTCTATACCGAAACCTTTTCATCACGCCAAACACAAACCCTGTCGTTAAAGACTAACTCCTCCTCTTCCCCAGCCCTTGGGAACCACCATTGTGCTGTCCCCATGAATCTGGTATTCTAGGGACCTCCTATAGAAGGAGTCATGGAGTCATTGTCCTTTTATGACTGGTTTGTTTCACTGTTGTGTTTTTAAGGTTTATCCATGTTGTGGTATGTGTCAGTTTCCTTCCTTCTTCAGGCTGAGTGATGTCCTGTTGTGTGTACATATCCCTTCGGTTTGTCCATTCGCCCAACAGTGGACACGGGGTATGCCCACATTCCGGCCGCCGTGAATCGGGCTGCTGCGAACACGGGGTGCAGACACCTGCTCGGAGCCCCGCCTCCAGTTCCTTTGGGCTGCGGGGGCTCACGGCGGTTCTGTGCTTAACTTTCTGAGGACCTTCTACACGGCTTTCCCACACAACTGCATCACTTGGCGTTCCTCGTTGACACTTATTTTCCGTTCTTCTTATAGCCCCCCCTGGTGGGAGTGGGGACGAAGCGGGGGCGAAGTGGTGTCTCGCTGTGGTTTCGATGCGCATGGCCCTGGTGACTGATGAGGTCGCAGCGCGCAGTGTTCTGACATTTGAGGGAGAGCCTGGGATTTTTCCCAGACGTTACAGCAGCTACTCGTGGAGAGAAGGTGCCAGTCAGGGGTCGGGTGGAGGGCAGTGGGCTTGTGCCATTTTTATACACGTCATGTATTTTTTTAGCCAAAACACATTATTTCTCTAGTAATTGTTTTTTAATAAAATGCTTAATTTTTAAACAAAAACGTGGTACAGCAAGAGTGTAGCCGCCATTGATGGAAACGCAGTGTCCTGCACAGTGCTCCGTAAGGAGGCGTGACAGTCCTAGGAATGTGGACTTTTCTCCGTTAGCCCTCAGCTGGAGTCCAGTTTAGCTAATATTGGGCATGCATGAAAAAAAAATAAAAATTTTAAACCTTATTATAGAGACACATCACAGAACACCTCAGAGTCCAGTGGGCTAGGCTGAGGTTCCGTTCTCACAGGAACTTGCCTGTTATGTGACTGCAGGCTGCAGCATTGTGGGTTGGGTCTGTCATCAGCTGAGGCTGCCTCTGGCACCGTTTCTTCCAGTGACAGCTCTTTTCCAGAAGCCAGGAAGACAGCTGCTCAAGGCACAAGGGCACGAACTGGCCTCTGCTCCTGGCTCCGCTGTCCCAAGTTTTGGCTCTGCCGCTGTCCGCAGTAATTGGAATTCAAAGCTCTGCAGCTGAAAACGGTCTTGGCATTTTGTCTGTGAAACACGTGCCAGGGAGACTCACGGTCAGCAGCAGTTGTGATCCAAGTTCTGTTTGGCTCTGACTGCCCCGAACGATGGGTGCCTATAAACGTGGCAGCAAGTTGGCTGCGCTGCAGACTCGCAGGCAGTAAAGGGAAATTGGGTGTTTGGTCAAGTGCTGTCGGATGTACGCAGAACATTAAACCCTTCGAGCTTTCTTTCGGTTTCTCTGCTGTGAGGCCAGGTTCACATTCCACTCGCAGAATTACAGAATTATTGAATCAGAAACTCACAGTAACTCTGGAGAGGCAGCCACAGTCTCCCATGTGCTGAAGTTCTCCACGTTAGAGGACAAGCCACACGGGCCAGGCCTGTCGTCAGCAG